GCTAAATGTTCAATACTATTCACAGTTGCCCAAGGCTGAAATCGAACCCAAGTCCCTGGTGCTGTGATGCTGCAGTGCTAACCACTGAGCCACCGTGCTGCCCTAATTGTTTGATACTGAAGTTGTTGCTAATTGAGTAACACCTTTACCTTTTTCAAGTGTATGCTTGCAAGACTGCCAATGACCCTACTTCTAGTTTGACTGCACAACATAGTTATGGTTCTTAGAAAGTCAGAATCTATAACCACGTAGTGGGGAAATGCATCACTGCTTTAAAAATGTTTGGGGGGGTGTGCGGGATGAGATCAAATCGCAATCTGCTCATGGGCAGGTGTTGAGAATAAAGAGAAAGATTCATTTTAAAACTCATTGATCCGTAACAATAAATGTCAGTGCTGCTTTATCTTCTTTCATATGCTTTCCCAAAGAAACAGCAGGCATTATGAAACTTGTGAAATGCCTTCAAATTTTGCTAAATGATACTTTTGACTTTGACTTTAATATTCTTACATTTCTTGTATGTGTACCCAATCAAGAAGCTCCTGTCCTGGCTTTTCAAACAAGCCACAGGAAGTGTGAAACTAGACAGAATGACCCCAAAATTCAATTCGCAAGCCATACTTAGACTAAAAGTTCCTAAATTCAATTCTGCATTTCAAGATAACATGGTAACCAGCCATCGCAAAAGCAAAAGCAAGTGCTCGCCGAGCCTATACTCCATTAGTCAGCCAACTACCTTTGAACAAAAACATTTTCTTTGAAACAGTGTCAAAATGTTTTCACATTTTACAAATGCAAACATTTCAGAGTGCAGTTATTAGAAAAGTTCACATATAAATGGTAGGAATAATTAATTTAGATAGAATCATGGTTTTAAAAAAAAAACCTCAAAAAGAGAGCCACAGCTTTAAATTTAAACTGCTAATACAGCAAGGCAATCAGTCAACAAAGCAAAAGAGTTAAAGACTCTGTAATTCAGTACTCTGAAAGGCCCTGGAACTTGGACAGCAAGGGTGAACAATGGAGCAAGACGAGGCCAACTCCTGTCAGTACTGAGATAAGCACTTCAGGACCAGTCCCCACCCAGATAACTTTCCCAATCATTCATGATCCTCACTAGCACAACCCAAAATGAAAAGAACAATTATTAGGGAATGTACAACTCTTAAGTGAGGTATACAGGGTAAGCAAGCCACCTCAGACAATGTCATCTAAATTTGTGTAGTAAATGCATTAATGATAAATATCTACTATGTTTCTATCAGGTCTAATCTTGATGGTGTAACTATCACAGCTGCCATAACCGAGATGCTGTGTGAATGACACAAGAAATAAAACAAAAGTAAAATTCAAGATGCATAATTCAGATATTAATGTTGTAAACCAGATGAAAAATAGTATGTACATTTGATTCTTTTTTTAAACTTCATTTGTGGGCAGCGTGTGTCACTGGCCAGCATTTATTGCCCATCCCAAGTTGCCCTTGAACGTGGTGGTGTACTGCCTTCTTGAACTACTACAGTCAACCTGCTGTGGATTGACCCGCAATTCCCTTTTAGGGAGGGAATTCCAGGATTTTTACCCAGCAACAACGAATAAATGATATATTTCCAAGTCAGGATGGTGAGTGGCTTGGAGGGGAACTTGTATGTGGTGGTGTTCCCATGTATCTGCTGCCCTTGCTCTTCTGGATAGAAGAGGTCATCAGTTTCTGGAATGCACTGTCTGAAAGTATGTTTGAGGTTAATTCAGTTGTGACTCTAAAGGGAATGATCAAAGTGTCTCAGTTTGATTGGATATGGGGAAGGGGTGGAGTAATGCAAACCTAGTGAAATTGCAGTTTCATGGATGAACAGGGACCGAATGGCTTCCTCTGTCCTTGTAAACATTTTGGTTCTCTCGACAAACCAGTATTTCTTTACACTCTGTCAATACTTTTCTCGATCTTAAATGAATGTCCTCTTTCAGTTTTCTTATGCGAATACAAATATCCAAATTGAATACCTCTAATTAGATCTATCTTTATCTTTAGTCTTTTTCTGTTGGGCAAAAGCTCCGTATCCATTTGTTTTATTCTCCAAAGTGAGACAGTAATGGATTTTTTTTGTATATTGTCCAGCTTGGGTATTTCAGATTACAATAGTCCAGTTATTGCAACCTGATGAGCAGTGAGATTCTTGCAGCTCATGGATATTGCAGGATAAAGTAATAGCGAATTCTGCTGTCTATATATAGCTAACTAAATGTGGAAGCCTGGAAGTTGCTGTTTGTGATGCAGAGGATTTACACACTGTCCTGCTGTGGTCTTTTTTTCCTGTGGTATCTAACAAGCTATTAAATGGGAAAGAACCTTTCGCATTTACCACTGGTCTTGTAGTGAGGACTGAAAATTGAGAGTTGGGTATTTGTGAATAGGTTTTAACAGTGTAATAAACATGAAAAAACTACTGAACAGTCTCCCTGGGACCTAAAACAGGTTTACAAGTGTCAATTCTCATTTTCTCTGAATATATGCATTTTTTTTTTCCCTTTTTTGTTCTAGCTGAATTGCATTTGTATGTCTGTTAGAAAGCATTGTTCAAGATGAGAAATTAGATACTTAAATATTTGTCATATCTACTTTTCAGTCTGAGGATTTTTGCAACTTGCTTAGTTCAAGAGGATCAGTGGTGCTTGCCTGGCCCCTCAGGTCATGGCATTTGAACAAACACGTGGCTGACAATCCTGCTGAAAGTCTATGGGCATGCTTTCAGTCTTCACAGTAGAAGACACTAACATTCCAAAATCAGTAAATAATCAAAGGGCAAAAGGAGGAGAGAAAATAAATACAATAATTATTACTAGAGGAAAAAGTGCTAACAAAAGGAATGAGGGTAAAAACTGATAGGTGCCTTGGACTTGATGGGATGCATCATAAGATGTTCAAGGAACTAACTGCATAGATAGTGGATGCACTGTAAGTCCCGGAGGATTGGAAAACAGCCAATAGAACAACTTAATTTAGAAAGGGAAGGAGACAAAGAAACAGGCAACAATAGGCTAGTTCACTTAATAGCTGTTATTTGGGAAAACTTTCAAGCTTCATATGAAGGATATGATATCACCGCATTTAGCATAGATAAAACGATTAAGCAAAGTAAGACTGTCTTCATGATGGAAAACTTATGTTTGACAAAGTTCCTTAAATCCTTTTGAGGTGGTAAGAAGCAGGACGGATAAAGGGGAAGCAGTGGATGTGATTTACTTGAATGACCCAAAAATAGACGGGAACACAAGCAGTGAGGAGGCAGAGACTCTGCAGAGGGATATAGACAGTTTGAGAGTGGGCAGAACTTTGGCAAATGTGAGGGTGTACCCTTTGGCAGGAAGAATAAGGGAGCTGAATATTATTTTAACGATGAAATATTGCAAAAAGGCTGCAGAACAGAGGGATTCGGAGTCCTCCTCTATGAATCACAAAATGGTAACATCCAAGATTAGCTGATAACAGGGAAGGCAGATGGAATGTTGGCTTTGATTTCAAGGTGAAACGGACATAAATGTAGGGATGCTTTGCTGAACCTTTATAAGGCATCAGACAGACCCCAGCTGGAATACTGTGAACAGTTTTTTGGGCCACTTTATTTCCCCTACTGGGAAAAATACACTGGCATTACAGGCAGTCCAGAGATGGTTCACTCGGCTCATACCAGATCGAGAGGAACTCTCTTGAGGAGAGGTTGAGTTGGTTGGTCCTACACTCATTGGAATTTGGAAGAATGCAAGGTGACCTTAATTGAAACATTCAAGATGTTGCGACTTGACAGAGTAGATTCAGAGCAGTTGTTTCCCATGTGACAGAGTCTAGGACCAGAGACCAGAAAAAGGGGTTGCCCATTTGAGACACTGATTAGGAGGATTTTCTTGAGGGTAATGAATCTGTAGAATTCTTCACCACAGAGAGCTGTAGAAACTGGTTCGCTAAGTGTATTCAAGGTGAAATACAGATTTTTAATCTGTTAAGAAATCAATGCTGTAGGGAAAAGACAGAAAAGTGGAGTCGAAGGTTATTACATCAGCCATGATCTTATTGAATGATGAAGCAGACTCAATGACCAGCTTGTGCTCCCATGTCTTATGGTCTGAATGAAAAATAAATGGTGAGAAAATCTTGCGCTGCTCAAGAAAATCTAGGCCAATAGATATTTGATGAAGTGACAAACCAATTGGATTAATTATTATTTTTTTTTGCACTTTGGCATTTTTTGCCGCTGATGCAAAAGGTTGAGGGTTGAGCTCAGACCTCCCTGTCAGAAATGCCGAGTCAAGTGAAAGACTAAACTGATATTTTATGCCCTCAGCTGGGCATGAAGAATCAATGGCACAATCTCAAAGGAGAACCAGAGCATATCCCTAGAGTTCGAGCCAATGCTAATCTAACAACCAACGTAAGCAAAGCACATTATTGGAGTATTCCACATGGCTGTATATTGGATTTTGCTGTGTATAAATTGGATGCCTTTTTACTATGTTTCAACAGTAGCTACATTGCAGCTAATTAAGTACTTCAAAAGTTTTTGGTATGTCTGGTGGCCCTGAAAGAAATCAAGACTTGCATTTATATAGAATCTTTCATGATCATTGGATCTCTCCAAAAGGTAGTTATAGAATTGAAGTGCAAAAGTACGAGGTAAATGCAATTTTTTTAAAAAACCCAAGCGTTGTTGCTTCTCTATCTAGTAACTTATTAGTTGTCTTTGAGGACGAAGTCTTAAAGTAGTTAGATGACTTCATTTAAATGCTTGTTTAGATTGAATTGTCAAGATCTCCAATGTTCTGCTTGGTACGGAGAGGGAAAATTACAGGGATTGGGGGAGAAAGAAACTTTCTGTAATCTGAGTTAGTTGAATATTCTCTTTTTTCAATTTATTAAATGGGGACGGTCAGATTATCAAAGGGAACTATATGTTAATGTGGTTAGAATTAAACATAATTATTTTTTCTCTGCTCTTTTTCCATAGACTTTAGATTTGGATAAAAATGCACTACAAAAGGTAAAGAAATCAGCAAAATCAATAAACACTTCTGGTCAAGGTAAGTTTTTGATTTGCATTTTTATTCCTTTGTATTTTCAAAGTAGTGCATATGGTATTGTGACCTAGTTAGAAAGGAATCAGTTCACCACCTATCCATGTCTCTCCCCCAGTAGTCGCTGCATTTTTAAAAAAAAATAGTGTTATTACCAATTTTTATGTAGTTTTGTATATATATATCTATCTGACCTGAAAACTTGCACAACCCTTCCAAATCTGGGGGGAAAATGAGCACTGTAGTTTTAAAATTTTCTTTGGCCAAGTGACAGTTAAATTCAGGAAAAATAATCATTCACAGATTGTTCAAATGCTGACCTTTAGTTGAAATCTATTGTCAAGATATCTAATGATTTGTTAGATATCTAACGAACATCTAATGATATCTAATGTTCTCACTTGGGGTATTTTCATGAATTAGCTACGGCTGGATGATTTATTTTCCAGTAGGTTGTGGTAGTGGATTCCAGATTTGTTTTTTGATCACCTTTTTTTGGGTTGCAGTAATAGAGACTTCTCCTGTAGGAACCCTCCACTTTGGAAATGAGTCTTCCAGTGAGTTTTTAACAGTTAAACTTTAGGCAGAGTTTTGCAGAAGGAGAGAACTGGGAGGACAAAATTAAAGCAAAATTCTCAAGGAAATTATCTCGGTTCAAATCCATTAGACTTATTACACCCACAAATCTGTCTGTACTCAATGACTTAAGTTGAGCAGCTTGTGTTCTTTTTTCAACCAATGCAACATTTCTCCCTGCTGTCTTTGCGAAGTGTTCTTTCCAAAAAGTCCCAAGATATGTGGGTATATCCAGTCAGTGATAATTCCAAATTAAGTCTTCAGATGACATAACTTCAGGTAAGTTTATGTATTTAAAAATTTACAGCACACCTTTTACAAGATGATGAATTCAAGGACATTGTTCTCCAGTTAGTTTGTTTTCATGTTAGTTAAGTTTCAGTACAGTTTCTTAAAGCAAACTCAGTACACTAGCATTTTTAAGTAAAATTTAAAAAGACAGTTTGAAAAATTAGCCACTTAATATCAACTTTTGTCAGTGGAAGTTGTTGTTTCTCCATAGATGATAATGCAGATGTTAGAAATTTTGTTTGCTTACACACTGTGTGGTCATTTGTAACAAAGGACATAAATAGTAGTAGGCCATATGCCACACTGAGCCTCCTCTGCCATTCAGTACCATCATGAATTGCTTTGGGCCTCAACACCATTTGCATCTGTTTCTCATCCCTTAATTTCTTGAGACCACAGATGTGTTCCCTTCAACCTTGAGACCACAGATGTG